ATAGCAATGAGCAGAAGGCAGAGTTTATGGATACAAATGCTGCGGGATGGTAGAGTTGAGATTGAAAAGGGGATTATTTTCTTTTTTCTTTTTTTCTAATCCTCACCTGAGGACATTTTTTCCACTTTTGTTCAGATAGAGTGGGAGGGAGGGGGAGAGAGAGAGAGAGAGAGAAACATAGACGTGAAAGGGACATATCGAGTGGCTGCCTCCCACACGACGCCAGCCAGGGCCGAAGACAAATCGCAGCCGAGGTACGTGCCCTTGACCGGAATCAAACCAGCAACTCATTGGTCCATGGCTGACGCTCTAACCGCTGAGCCAAACCGGCCAGAGCTTAAATTTTTTTTCTTTACTGGTTTTAGAGAGAGAGGAAGGGAGAGGGAAAGAGAGAGAGAAACATCGATGAGAGAGAACATCGACTGGCCACCTCCTGCATTACGCCCACTGGGGATGGGCCCACAATCTGGGCATGTGTCCTGACCGGGAATCGAACTGGTGACCTCTTGGTGCATGGGTCAACGCTCAACCACTGAGCCACACCGGTCGGGCAAGAGGATTCTTTTCTGATTGCACCTAACTTCTTGACATAAGACGTGATTAGCTGAGAGTGAGCTGGAAGAAGATGGTGGTAGATGCTCTAGAAGAAGTTGAATTTACTCTTGAAACTTTGTAGAGTTGCTGGATAAAAACCATACCTACACACTAGCCGGGTGTCCTTCCATCCAGGAGGGATTTAAGACTCAGCACCTGTAGTGAAACCCCCTGTAGAATCAGGATGGACCCCTTACCCAAGACACTGATAGGATGTTGAGGCTGATGATGTCACACACACATTCACTGTGTGAAAGACCAAATTCTCTGGTGTTGAAAGTAGCTGGTAGGAGGTGTGTGGGTTCCTGAACAGGGCTACATAGCTCCATCCGAGTGTAGCTGGAACTAGTGAAAATAATGGGTTTGGATCACACTAGCCATGCTGAATATTTGCATTTAAACTACAGACATTTCGCACAGCAAAGGAAACCATCTACGAAATGAAAAGGCTACGCACTGAATGCAAGAACACATTTGTCAATGATACATCTGATAAGGGGTTAATGTCTAAAATTTACAAAGAACTTGTAAAACTCAACACCAAAAAAATAACAATCTGCCCAGCCAGTGTGGCTCAGTGGTTGAGTGTTGACCCATGGACCAAGAGGTCACCAGTTTGATTCCCGCTCAGGGCACATGCCCAGGTTGTGGGCTCAGTCCCCATTGGGTGTGTGCAGGAGGGAGCCAATCGATGTGTCTCTGTAATCGATGGTTCTGTCCCTCCCTTCCTCTCTAAAAAATCAATTAAAAAAACAACAACAACAAACAAAACAATCCAATTAAAAAATGGGCAAAGGATCTGAATAGACAATTCTTCAAAGAGGACATACAGATGGCTAATAGGCATATGAAAAGACACTCCATGTCACTAATCATCTGAGAAATGCACATTAAAACCACAATGAGATGTCACTTCACACCTGTCAGAGTGGCTATCATCAATAAATCAACAAACAAGTGTTGGTGAGGATGTGGAGAAAAGGGAGTCCTCATACACTGTTGGTGGGAATGCAGACTGGTGCCGCCACTGTGGAAAGCAGTATAGAGTTACCTCAAAAAACTAAAAACTGCCTTATGACCTGGTGATACTTCTGGGATATTCAAAGAAACCCAAATTACAGATTCAAAAGAGTACATGCACCCCTTTGTTCACAGCAGCGTTATTTACAATAGCCAAGATTTGGAAGCAACCCAAATGCCCATCAGTAGATGAGTGGATAAAAAAGCTGTGGTACATTTACACAATGGAATATTATTTGGCCATAAAAAGGAAAAAACTTTTACCCTTTGCAGCAAATGGAGGGACCTGGAGAGCATTATGCTAAGTGAAATAAGCCAGCCAGAGAAAGACAAGTACCATATGATTTCAACTCACATGTGGAATTTAATGAACAAACTTAACTACCAAGCAAAATAGAGATAGGCTTATAGATAGAGAGCAGGCAGACAGTTCTGGTGGTTGGGGGAGGGTTTGGGAGGGGTGGAGGGACTGAGGATAAAAGGAAAAGAAAAGGAATAGAACTCATGGACATGGACAACAGGAGAGGGGGTGAGTGGAGGTGGAAGAGGGGATAAATGGTTGATGGAAAAAAAATAAAATACAATAAATAAAGGGATTGGCAACACCAAAAAGTAAATTAAAAGCTATGTTACTCAATCAAAAAATTAGTTACAGACTATACTTTTCAGTCTGTTCTCGGTGCAGCAGCCATAGTGAACCTGATCTTGTCATTTCTCTGCGTCAGGCCAGGGCACCGGCTCACTCAGGGCACCAGGTCAAGTCCTTGCAGGTCTTGAGAGGCCTCACACAGCCTGGCTCCCCCTTAATCTCTGACATCATTTCCTGCCTCCCTCCCTCATCCCCTAGACCTGGACTCTTTGCCATCTCTGTCCCTTCTACCTGGATCTGATAGAAGAAGTAAACCGCCGTTTTAGAAAAAGCAAGCACCCGGGAGATAACCAGACCCGTTTGCCTCCCAGGAGATAACCAGACCTTTTCGCCTCCTGCTTCTGTAAGCTGCTTGCCGCTTTCGCTTCTAAAGAATGTCTGCCCAGCCTGCTATGAAGCTAGGCGGGCCCCACAACTCCAGACTTGGAGCCGGCCTCCTCGGGGTCCGCATGCGTGAATAAAGGAACCTCTTCGCTTCCTCCGCGTTCCGAGTCTTTTCCGTAACAGATTGACTTTCCTCCTCTGCCTCCTTTTGCTTTAGTACTTCTTCAAATCACACACTGTATATTTAGTTATTTGTCTTATTTCATCTCCCCTTACAGCTTATAAACTCCATGAGGACACATATTTTGGTCTAGTTTGGCCCCTGCTCTAACTCAGTGCCTATACTGAAGGCATGGTGTGCCTTCAGTGTAGAATTTTGGAATAACTAAACATTTGTCCCTTGCAAGGATTAATACTATTCTGAAAACCACCTTCTCGTCTCCATTAGACATTAATATTTATCCTTTTATTATATAATTTTTATCTGATTTCTTATGATCTTTGTTATGCAGAGAGCATACGCCACCCCGAATTAGATGACGAAGTATCTTCCACATCTATAACTTTTTTTTTTTTAACTAGGCAAAGAACTTTATCAACCTCCTTCAAACTTTATTCCCAGGTTTCTTCCGCTCAATTAGCTGCCAAGAATGATTTATGTATGAACAAAAACTGAAAAGAGCTGCAATGTCTAGGAGAGTTGGGCTACAAAATATTAGAGATCTAGTTTTCATCAGACCCATAAACAAAATTTGAAAAACGCAGTCATCATATAAAACAGCAGTTCCCAGTAACCTCTTCAAGTTTATCTTCTTCAGAATCGGACTCAATTCAGTTTGCTTCGTTCTTGGAAGCCTCGTCGAAATTTCCCACAAGATCTGGAACTTCATCCTCCTCCTCCTCCTCTCCAGTACCAAGTGGTGCTTTTGCATCCACAGAGTGTTTGGGCACAGCTTCAGCCGTCTCCTTAAACTAATCCAACTGTCTGCGCCGTGCTGGTTTGAGATGCTGGGTGGCATTTCTGTCAGCTGCTTTGTGTCAGCAGTACTGGTGACAGCGTTCACTGCCGGAGATGCCTGGACTTTGGGGTTGTTCAAGTGGATCACTGTTCCTTGGTCTGTGAACATATTTACCTCTTCAGTACCAGAGAGATTGTTGATCCCTAACTGTTGCGGTGTTACGGTGGGATCATAAAAGAGGACAAACGAATCAGATGCAGTAATTGAACTGTGAGTTAGCAGAGGACTCAGCACTGTCTCCATGCTGAGCCCCGAGCCAGTATTTTTCAGCACCACATTCTGCAGCGTATTTGAGCAAACTTACAATGCAAGCATTCAACCAAGCATTAAAGAAGTTAAAAACATTTGCAATAACAATCCCTCCAGGGTATCCTGTTCTATTCATAACTCAACCATTTATATAAAGAATAGCAGTTCCTTGGGCCAGGCAGCACCGCCTGCTCTTGGCAGTTTGCCTCCAAGAAGTCTGGGTGCTTGTGTGCAGCTCCAGCAGACCCAGGTGTCTGGCCCTGCCTTTACCAAGGGACTCCTCCACTCTCTGCTCTTGTTTACCATGAGTTGCATGGCTCAGTTCAAAGCAGGTCCTGCCCCGAGTCCACCAACCTAACTTCTTGAAGGAGAACTGGAGTTTTTATCATCTGCTGTAACCACCTTCTGCTTCCTGCGGGCGGTCCCTTTCCCACCAGTGCCCACTTGTGCGGGCAGTTGGGCGAGTTTCTCTTGGGGTCTGACAGTTTCTTTCATGTTGTGTAAAGGACAAACACATGACCTTTCCCCCTGGATTTTAAGGGAATGGCAAGAACTAGCTGCTAATAGATAACCACTGCATTGTATAGATAACCACTGCATTGTATAGATAACCACTGCATTGTATAGATAATCACTGCATCGTATAGATAACCACTGCATTGTATAGATAACCACTGCATTGTATAGATAGCCATTGCTTCGTGTACACAGAAAACTGATTAGGTCAATGGCACTGAGTTATAACATTTGCTCCCTCAGGCACAACAGCTAACTGCAAATATCTGCTTCTGTATGTGCTGGCTTGCTCGCAGACCCTTAACCCAAATTCCTTAACAGGGGCTAAGACAACTGTATAAGCAACCCACCCCCTGAGCTCGGGGCTGCTCTCTCCTCCGCGTAGGATGGGACAGTCGCTGCGCGGCTACTAAAGCTCTCTTAATTCGAACCCAGTTCGGAGTCTGGGTCTGGTCTGTCTCGTTGGTCTACAACATCTGGAGAGGAACCGGGCGCAGGGGGAAACCAGGATAGTGCTCAGGGATCTTGGGCAGCACAGCTGAGAACAAGCGCGCACAGGCGGGGCGCGGGAGCTACAACAACTAGACCGCCCCCTTGAGGGGGAAAGGGAAGCAGTGTGGCTTAGTTTCAGTTTCTTGTAAAACAGCTGACCCTACTCCCTGCATTCCTGGGGGTGGAGAGGCTCCACCCATCCCAACTCGAGCCCTTAAGTGGTGGGGAGGCAGCGCCACAGTTCAGAAAACCTCTTCTCTAGGTAAGTCGCGGAGGGAGGGTTGGCTGCTTCCCGTGACCCCAGGCTGGGTGGCAGTGGGCTCAGGGAGTGGAGTGGAGACCCTTGTGGATCCACTCGCAGAACGTGCTTCGCCCCCCCCCCCCAACATTATTTTGTTTCTCATCAGAGAAAGTAGGTCTCGGGAGAAAAAGGACTCAAGCCCCCATCTGCCCCTGGGCTCTGGGAACAATAAACCTTGTCCATTCCTTGTGGGAGGAGGGGGAGGTAAGTGCAGGGAGAGACCAGTTAGGTTTAGAGGAACCGGTCCAAGCCTGAGCTTCGGAAGCAGCTGGACCAGGTAGGGTGGCACTTTGACAGACAAAGCCTTGGGTGACTCACTCACCCTCTCTGTGCCAGACAATGTCTCCTCGTTTATAGACGGAAGATAGCGATCTCACCTTTATCACGGGGTTGGTGAAGAGATTACATCTGAGAAGGAACCCCGAGTAACTTTTAAAACAGAATTGGTTCTGATTTTCTCATTCTTGTACCTTTTAATTTTTTTTTTTTTTTTTTTTGCATTTATCTTGAGATAGAGAGGGAGGGAGAGAGGGGGGAAGAGAGAGAGAGAAACATTGAGTGGTTGCCACCCACCCAACTGGGGCTGGAGATAAACTGCAACTAAGGTACGTGCCCTTAGCGGGAACCAAACCTAGGACTCTCTGGTCCGCGGGCCAACGCTCTAACCGCCCAGCCAAACCGGCCAGGGCTTAATTTGGTATCTTTTAAGTGGCTCCGTGGGGACTTAGGGGAGTTCTAAAATGGAGTTGAAGCTGGTGTGTTCAGGAGGAATGAAGCAGCCCACCCGAGGAAATAAAACCCACCCCTTCCATCCCACCCTCCACTAACAGGTCCTTCCATAACCGCAACACCCACACCTGGACCCTTTCCTGGCCTGCTGCCCCATGGGCTCAGAGGAGCCTCCCCATCCCCTGCTCCCAGCCCGGTAGAGGCAGTGGGAAATCCCGCTTGGTATCCCCATTCCCACCAGAGCTCCTCCCTTGGTGCAGGTTTGGCTCCTCTGACTGCTACTCACCCTGCACACCATGGAAAGCATCCTAGCCTCTTCCCTCCTTGCCAAGGTTACATCAGTAGCGACCCTGGCCAAAGCTGGAGGGGCTGCCTCTGGCAGTTTCCTGGCCGGATTGTCAACCACGGGTGAGTGTTCCTGGGAGGACGGGGGAGGGGGCAGCGGGAGGGTGCTGCTCAGGGACTGTGGGGAGGGAGAGGGTAGCAACACCTGCAGCCTCTCTCCCCTGCCCTGTCCTACCCCTGGGTGTCTGTCTGTCTTGGCTGCGGTGGGGTAGGGGGCCTCAGGGGTCTGGGTCCCCTCGCCACTGGGCCTGTGTCTCTTTCCACCCAGACTGAGGGGACTGTGCCTGGGTCCCGCTCCCTGGCTCTCATTTCCCCTGGATTTCTCACCAGCATTCACCCCCTCGGCGGTTAGCTGTGTGTCCACCAGCCTTTCCTAGCAGTTTGTAATGTCGGGTCTCAGATCTAGAGTGTTGATTTGAACAACATTCTTCAGTGTGGGCCTATTTTCTTTGTTAGTTCATGTGAACCCCCTCTTGGGTTTTATTTTTTTATTTGCTGTTTATCTTCTCTTTTTCCCCCCACCCCCAAAGTCAGCCTTTCTAATATGTATCTGTTTTTCATATATATATTTTTGCAAAATGGGTATTTTCTATTTGCATGTGTTTTCATTTACTTACAGGATAGTGTATATCTCATACTATTGCTTTTTTTTTTTTTTTTTTTTGCATGAAAAACTATTTTTGAGATCTGTCTGTGTCGCTAGGTAAGCATCCAATCCTTGCTTCCACCTGTTGCCAAGTGATCGTGTGTACAGTGTGTACACCCACCGTTTACCTTTCTCTCCAACCCCCACCAGCACAAACAGCCTAGGGTGGAATGGGGGGAAAGCAACAGGGCCCCTGACCACTGCCTGACCTCTGACCCCTGTACACTCACCCTGTGTTTTTCCTCAGGGCTCACTCTGACATCCAAGGCTGCCCTGGGCTCGGCTGCATCAACCGTGGGGTCCCTGCTGGGATCCCCTGCTGCAGCCCTGACTGCTTTGCCATTTGGAGGTAACTGGCCTTGGGTAACAGACACTCTCCTTGGGCCCCTACTGAGCGCACAGAGTGTGACAAGAAAGTTAGGGCCTGGGCCACAGCCAGCAGTCTTTCCTGCTTGTGAGAAATGAGGCAGACTCCTCAGCTGATGCTAAGAGATTAAGTACAGCTGGATTTTCTCAAACACTGTGATGTCCTAGCCACTAGGCTTAGCATTGGACATTGATCGATTAGTTTAATTCTCATAACAACCTCAGACGAAGATAATACTGTCCCTTATTAACAAATGAAGAAACCATTGTGGCCCTGGCCGGGTAGCTCAGTTGGTTAGAGCACCAAGGTTGTGGGTTCGATCGCGAGTCAAGGCACAGACCAGAATCAACCAATGAATGCATCAATAAGTGGAACAGCAAACTGATGTCTCTCTCTCTCTCTCAAATAAAAAAAGAAAGAAACCACGTGCAAGAGCACTGGCGGGAAGGGGAAGCTGCTGGGAAGTGCAGTAGGGAGGAAATGCAGGCTCAGCCTTGAGTGGAGGCCTCCAGCCAAGGCAGTTTCTGAACAGCCCAGAAGGAGCAGACCACCCTCCCCATGGGTGACCCCTGGGGCCACCGCAGGCAGGTTGTCAAGCAGCTCCCCATTTCCCCTGGGCCTTCTGATATTGGGGCCCTGGGGTGCCAAGCCGAAGGCTGACAGGCCTGCCATCACCTCTCCCGCCGAGCAGTATCGTTCAGCAGCACGTCCATTCTAAGTGGGCTCTGGTCTCTGGCTCGTACCCCACCCAGGTGGCCCTCTGACCATTCCATTTTGGTTTGCATACCTCTCTCTTTGCTTTGTCCATTGTCACCTCAGGGCTCCCTCCCTGGGGAGCTGGCTGAGCTCACCCCTGCACATCTTGCTGCCTTTGAACTCCTGGCCCCCACAGGCCCCAAAGGTTGCAGTCCCCGCACTGTGGCCGCAGCAGACCAAGACCTCCGCCTGCTCCCCAGGGACTCAGTGTTGGAGAGCCAGGCCCATGCACAGCTAACTGTGACCAGTGCTGTGAGTGGCTCCAGCCACAGGGAGCAAGGATGAGATCTGACTGGGAGGATCTGGGGCAGCCTCCTGGAGGAGGGGGCAGCCAGTCAGGCCCTGATAAATCCGGAACATTGGACTCACTCAAACATTCCACAGGCTTGCCTGACTTCAGCCAGGCAGTCCAACCGAAGCACATTCTCCCTACATGAGGACTGATTGCTAAGAGCTTTCATAACCCTCACAGGAAAAACACTGACCCTATTTTATTTTTTATTTTATTTATTTATTTTTTTTATCCTCACCTGAGGATATTTTTCCATTTTTTTTTGTACAGATAGAGTGGGGGGGAGAGAGAGAGAAACATCGACGTGAAGGGACACATTGAGTGGCTGCCACCCGCACGACCAACCAGGGCCGGGGGCAAACTGCAACCAAAGTACGGGCCCTTAGCGGGAACCGAACCCGGGTCTCTCTGGACCGCAGACCGATGCTCTAACCGCTGAGCCAAACTGGCCAGGGCCACTGACCCTATTTTAGATGAACTAACATCCTGGCCCAACTACATGACTTGGCCCAGGATCCCGCCTCCGGGAAGGTATGCTGCAGCCACTTGCTAGGGCTTTGTTTGTTTGCGGTGTTAACCAAACCTGGCTTGGAAGATGGCGCTAAAAAAAATAAGATAACTTCTGATCTCCCCACAAACGCCCACCCAGTCAGCAGACGGAGAAAACCCAACCCAAACTGTGTCTGACTGAGTTTTCAGGTACAGTCACCTCAAACCCCATCTCCAGATGACTCTAAGCCAAGGCTGCACAGCTCCTAGGCCAGGCGCTGGCCTCTGCCACCAGGCTCCCCGCAGTCCTCACCAAGCTCAGGCTGGGAAGCTGCCCTTCTCAGAAGTCCCACCTCTCTGAGCGGAGGGGGGCATGGGGAGTGTCAGGCAGGGGTTATTCCTTCCTGTGCTCCCCACCTCGGGGAAGTGGCCTGCGCTGAGGGAGGGAGGTAAGGCCAGTGTGGATCTATTCACAGAGTGTTCTTTGGTTTCCAGCCAAGGCTGCTGCAGCAGTGATCGGAGGAGGTAAGTTTCTTTAGGGAACTCAAGTTCCCATCTATCCCCAGACTCTGGGACTTGGGGAGCCTCCTTGTGCATGCCCAGGTTTACCCCAGGCCTCCGTAGATGGGAAGGAAGGGACTGGAAACAGGCAGCCCTGGAGAGGGGATGAAGGGGGGGGGTTGCGCATCACCTTTTTGCAGAGCATAAGCTGCATGGCCTTGGGGGTTTCTTTGAATTCCTCTGAGCTCCCATTTCCTCCTCTGACATAGGGGCCAATATTGCCCTTTCAGGGTTATTGTGAGGGTTACGTATTATGAACCACGCACAGTCAGAACACAGGCAGGGCATGAAAGGGATGCCATTAGCTCAATGACCCTGGGTCCAGTGGCTTCCGATTGCTCCGGGATAACACCTTGGAGCCCTGAGGGATTCCCGCAGAGCTCAGAATGCACTCCTTGCTTCTGCTAGGCCCCTGGGTAAGACTGATTGTAGGAAGGATTTTCTCAGCGAAGACAAGGAGCTTGGGAGCCACGCCCTAGTTCTTGCATCTTATGGAGAAACAGACCCAGAGCACAGAGGACTTTCCCAAGGAAGGTCCCGCTGCAGACCAGAGCTGGGCCCCGAACCCTGTCCCCAGGAACCCACAGCCCTTCCTGCTTTCCCCACCAGTGCTGTGACTGCTGGCCAGGCCCATAGTCTCCCCCAAGTTCAGACTTCATCCCCTTCTCCACCCCCTTGAGGTTTCCCAATCTTGACTGTGTGTGTGTGTGCGCGCGCGCGCGTGTGTGCGTGTGCGTGTGTGTGCGTGCGCGCGCACACTTGTGCACATATGTGTGTGAGGTCTGTTTCCCTGAGTGTCACCTTGACCCAGCTAGCTCCTCTCCCTGGACAGCTGTCACCGTCGGTGCAGTGCCTGTGGTGCTGGGCGCCGTAGGCTTCACTGGGGCAGGAATCACCGCCTCCTCCTTAGCGGCCAAAATGATGTCAGTGGCCGCCATCGCCAATGGGGGCGGAGTAGCTTCTGGCAGCCTGGTAGCGACTCTACAGTCCATAGGTAAGTGTCCCCAGTAGGGTGAGAAGGGCAAGAGCCTCAGAGGGTCCAGCCCAGATCTCAGTCCCGGCGATCCGCAGTCTCTCCGTGCCTCCATCTCACCCTCTCCCTGGGTGTCTCTGAAGGAGACTTTGGAGGGAGCAAAGAGCCCTGGCCTGGGCTGTATGGGTTCAGGTGGGCTCTGCCCAGACCGGGTTTGCTGGTTTACTTGGAGAGTAATCCACCTGGGGCTCAGTCTCCTTCCCTGGAGAGCAAGGCAGCTTCCAGCTCTTGGTTTAACCCCCGGAGTTCCTGCCACTGGGTAGCTGCCTGCAGCAGCCCCCAAAGCAGAAACCCTGGGGTTTGGGGAAACTGAGGAGGGTGCTGGGTGGGGTACCTGGGCCTTAAGTCCTGAGAGGCCCCGAATCTCCAACCGCATGGTTGTGTCCCACGGAGCTGTCCCAGCCTGCTGGCCCGTCCCTGCTCACCCTCTCCTTCTTCCCCAGGAGCAGCTGGACTGTCCCTGTCATCCAAAATCGCCGTGGGCTCTGCGGGGTCTGCTCTGGTAGCCCTCGTGGTATAGCTCCCTGTTCCTTCCAGCGCAGAGAAGAGGACAACTTGGGACCCTGCTCAGCAACCTGATTCAATGGGCACCAAACCTGGGGTAACAATATGCCATATGCTGTACCCCCTTGAAAAAACAAAGAATAAAAATGAGTTGTTGCCCTGGCCGGTTTGGCTCAGCGGTTAGAGCGTCGGCCTGCGGTCCGGAGAGACCGGGGTTCGGTTCCCGCTAAGGGCACGTACCTTGGTTGCGGTTTGTCCCCGGCCCTGGTTGGTCGTGCGGGTGGCAGCCGCTCGATGTGTCCCTTTCACATCAATGTTTCTCTCTCTCTCTCTTCCTCTCTCTCCCTCCCGCTCTATCTGAACAAAAAATGGGAAAATGTCCTCGGGTGAGGATAAAAAAAAAAAAAAAAAATGAGGTGTTGCCACCCCTGCCAGACCCCTTTCTTCTTGTTTGCTCAGTCATGTGAGGGAAGGTTCACGTCTCTTTCCAGACCACATGGTCACCGAACCACATGGTGTTGGGGTGCAGTGAGAAGGAATGGGGTGACTAGAAGCTGCCCCTGCCCAGCTTCTGACCCCAAATGTGACCCTGCCTGCCAGGTCAGCTCCTCTGTGGGCCTGCGTGTGCTCCCTCTAAATGGGAAGTTGATCTAAATGACCTCAAAGGTCTCAGCCAGCATGGTGTTGGTCAGTGTTTGTTCAGAGTCAGGAAATGGGGGTGGGAGAGGTGGGGAGCGGTGTGGAGCTGGGAGGGCATCCTGTTGGAGCCTCATGCACACCCCCTCCCCATCCCTGGCCTCTGCATATCCAAGGGCTGTTTCCTGAGTGGCCTGGCTCAGGCTTCCAAAGCGCAGGCTCCAGGATATCGCTGCCCCAGCCCTGGCCTTTCCCCGCCCCACAGCCAGAGGAAAATCTAGTTTATCAGGGCTCTGACCTTGCTGCTTCCGGGCCTGGGTCCCAAAATAGGCTTCACATCCCAGAACAAGGTAGAGACTTATCACCAGGGTGGGCTTCATCCCAGAGCATAAAAAAGTCACTTCCATGTTGATTCACACCCCTTTGCACAAACTCTGAGCACGTGCTGTGGGTCAAGCCCTGGGCTGGGTGCTAGGGAACCCCACCTTTTCCTAGGCAGTGCTCACGGTCTACTGGGGTGGGGACAGGGACCCACAGGCAGGCAGCACTATCTTTGTCCACTTGGGCTGCTGTAACAAAAATCGCAAGGACTGGGTGGCTGCCAACAATAGAAATGTATCTCTCCCAGTCCTGGAAGCTGGGAGATCAAAGACCAAGGTGCCAGCAAATTAGGTGCCTGGTGAGGGTCTGCTTCTGGGACAGACTCCCTGGGGTGTCCTTAGAAGGGTATTAAATTCCAATTATGAAGGTTTCACCCTCATGATCTAAGCACCTCCCAAAGGTCCCACCTCCTAAAACCATCACCTTGGGGATTAGGATTTAAACATAAATTTTGGGAGAACACAAACATTCAGACCATAGTGGACACGTTAGGGAAAGGAGCTTGGACTTGATCCTGAGAGTTTTGGAGAGACACGGGATTTTCAACATGACAGTGACCCAGTCACAGACCTCACACCCCTATACACTCTGCCCTAGGTGCTGGTATCGGCCTAACAGGATCTCAGTTTCCAACAAGAACTAAACTTGAGAGTCTAGTGGACATTTCAAGAAGCTAAACAGCCCTGGACAATTTTGCTCAATGATTAGAGCATGGATCTGAGGACCAGAGGGTCTCAGGTTCGATTCCAGTCAAGGGTACATGCCTGGGTTGCTGGATTGATCCCTGGCTCTGGTTGGGATTGTACTGGAGACAACCAATTGATGTGTCTTTCTCACATTGATGTCTCTTTTTCTCTTCCACCCTCCCTCCCTCCCTTCCATTCTATCTAAAAATAAATGGAAAAATATCCTCTGGTGAGGATTAACAGAAAAAATAAAAAAGCTAAACAGCTTATCTGTGTTCCTAAGTGGCTCCCATGACTTATGGTTGCTACCCAGCCATAAGAGTAAACCCCTCGGTGTGAGTGTCAGCAAGTGTGAGAGAGAGTGTGAGTGGACGCGAGTGGATGACCAACCTTGAGCAGTGTAGAAACGTGGGGCAGAAGGTTCCTATGCTGTGGACGGGGAGCAGCCGGCGACCACAGTGAGCAGCTTGTCAGCGAGCTTCTCCCTGCTCGGCTGGGAGGCCCCGCCGTTTTGGAAGATCCCTGGACTTCTCTGGGAGGAGGCAGTGGGGAGCAGCTAGGGCGAAGCAACCTGAGTCCACCAGGCTGCCTTGCACAAAGTCCAGGAAACACAGAGAGTCCCAAACAAGATGAACCCAAACAGACCCACAGCTAAGCACATCATAATTAAAAGGGCAAACATTACCCTGGCCAGTTTGGCTCAGCAGTTGGAGCATTGGCCTGTGGACCAGAGAGTCCTGGGTTCGATTCCCGCTAGGGGCATGTTTTATATTTTTTAAAAAAAATAACAAAAATAAAATAAAATGGCAAACATTAAAGACCAAGAAAGAATCTTAAAGAAAGCAAGAAAGAGACAGAAAGTTACCTTCAAGGGAGCTCCCATTAGACTGTCAGCTGATTTCTCAATAGAAACTGCAGGCCAGAAAGGAGTGGCATGAAGTGTACAAAGTAACAAAAGGCAAGGGTCTGAATCCAAGACTAAAGGCTATCATTCAAAATTGAAGGAGAAATAAAGAGCTTCACAAACAAATTTTTTAAAAAAAGCTAGATCAGTTGGACTTAATTGATATTTACAGAACATTTCACCCCAAAGCTGCAAAATATACATTCTTCTCAAGTGCATATGGGACATGCTCAAAGACAGACTACAGGTTAGGACACAAAGTAAGTCTCTACAAATTCAAGAAGACTGAAGTCATACCAAGCATCTTCTCATCACAATGGCATGAAACTAGAAATCTACAACAAAAACATTCAAACACGTGGATGTTAAATAGCATGTTATTAAACAACGAATGGGTTACCAAGAAGATTAAGGAAGAAATTAAAAACTTCCTGGAAACCAATGAAAATGAACACACAACAACACAAAATCTATGGGACGAAGCGAAAGCAGTCCTGAGAGGGAAGTTTATAGCACTACAGGCCTACCTCAAGAAACAAGAAAAAGATCCTAATTTACTTTTTAACCCTACAACTTAAAGAACTAGAAAATAAACAGAAAGAAAAACCCAGAGCAAGTAGAAGGAAAGAAATAGTAAAGGTCAGAGCAGAAATAAACAACATGGAAACTAAAAATCAATTCAAAACATCAATAAAACAAAGAGCTGGTTCTTTCAAAATATAAACAAGATTGATGGACCCTTAGCTAGACTCACCAAGAAACAAAGAGAGAGAACCCAAATAAACAAAATCAGAAACAAATGAGGAGAAGTAACAACTAACATCACAGAAATACAGAGGATCATCAAAATATAGTATGAACAATGATCCGCCAACAAATTGGACAATCTAGGAGAAATGGGCAAATTTCTAGAAACACACAGTCTCCCACAACCGAACCAGGAAAGACAGAAAACTTGAACAGACCAGTAACAACTAAGGGAATTGAAAATATAATCAAGACTCTCCCAACAAACAAAAGCCCAGGCCCAAACAGCTTCATGGGGAAGTTTTACCGAACATTCAGATATCTAACACCCATTCTCCTCAAACTATTCCAAAAAATCCAAGAAGACAGAAGACTCCCAAAACTCATTTTATGAGGTCAGTATAATCCTAATTCTAAAACCGGATAAAGACATTACAAAGAAAGAAAACTACAGGTCAATATCCCTGATGAACACAGATGCCAAAATCCTTAACAAAATATTTGCATCTCGGATCCAGCAATACATCAAAAAAATTATTCATCATGACCAAGTGGGATTCATCCCAGGGATGCAAGGATGTTACAATATTGGCAAATCAATAAATATGATAGCCCCGGCCAATTGGCTCAGTGGTTGGAGTGTTAGCCTGTGGATCAGAGAGTCCCGGGTTCAGTTCCTGCTAGGGGCACATATAAAAACAAACAAACAAACAAACAAATATGATAACCACATAAACAAAATGAAAGATAAAAACTATATGATCTTATCAATAGATGCCAAAAAAGCATTTGACAAGATCCAGCACCAGTTTCTTATAAAAACGCTCAGCAAGGTGGGAAAGAGGGATCATATCTTGACAAAATAAAGGCCATATATGAAAAACCTACAGTCAACTCAATGGGCAAACACTACAAGCATGTCCCTTGAGAATGGGAACAAGACAGGGATGCCCACTTTCGCCACTCTTATTTAACTTAGTACTGGAAGTCTTAGCCACAGCAATCAGACATGAAGAAAGAATAAAAGGCATCCAAATTGGAAAGGAGGAGGTGAAACTGTCATTATTTGCAGATGATATGATATTGTACAAAAAAACCCTAAAGACTCCATCAAAAATCTGCTAGATTTAATAAATGAATTTGGCAAAGTAGCAGGATATAAAATTAACATCAAGAAATTGATGGCATTCTTATACACCAACAATGAACGAACTCAGAAAAAGAAACAAACAAACAAACAAAATAAACAATGCCATTTACCATTGTGGAAAAAAAAATTAAGATACCTAGGAATAAACTTAACCAAAGAAGTAAAGGACCTGTTTGCAAAAAACTACAGGACATTGAGAAAAGAAATAGGGGAAAATATAAAAAAGTGGAAGCATGTACCTTGTTCATGAATTGGAAAAATTAACATCATTAAAATGTCCATATTACCCAAAGCAATCAATAGAATCAATGCAATCCCCATCAAAATACCAACAGCATATTTCACAGAACTAGAACAAATACTCTAAAAGTTTATATGGAACCAAAAAAAGACCCCGAATAACCACAGCAATCTTGAAAAAAACAAACAAAGTAAGAGTGATCACAATACTAGATATCAGGTTATATTACAAAGCCACTATAATCAAAACAGTCTGGTACTAGCACAAGACCAGGTATATAGATCAATGGAACAGAACAGAAAACCGAGGAATTGACCTAAGTCATTATACTAAATTAATATTTGACAAAGAGGGCAAGAGCATACAGTGGAGTCAAGACAGCCTCTTCAATAAACAGTGTTGAGAAAATTGGACAGTTA